TATCAGCCAGAATGGCTGGATTTGTATGCAATTGAAATCAAGCACTTCATTAACGTTTCACAGGCTCAAAATTTACAAAAACATTTTCTACAGTATGTCCAACAGAAATCTGTTTTGACAAAGAGTGACCAGCCTAACATCCTGTAGCCAGTATGCATTTACAAAACCTTGCAGACAGCACATCAATATTGAGATTTGATGTAAACCAAGTCAGCCTTTAATCCAATTGAAACATGGATTATCAAATACTCAGCCAGATTTTGTCACAGCATGCATGCCCATGTCTCTTAAAAGGGCACTGGTTTTCCCAAATAAATTTATTCACAGTAGCAAGGTTTTTGCAAATGCTGCATTGTTTCATTTTAATGGAGATTACAATAATGAAGGTTTTTATACTGCTGTTTTAACATGGAGTACACTAGTTAAGGTTATTGTAACACTGTTGCTCTGACTTGGGGGTTTGACCATTTTCAATCAAACAATTGGGGGCTCGTAAGGATTGAAATTTTGGGAAGCACTGCAAGAAAGCTTTAAATCTCATTTAATGTTAAAAGTTAGTCACATACTTTAACAGCCTGTGACATTCTTCAAGATGGAGTTACTGAGCCTAGCTATGCTCAATCAGTACTTTAGATGCTGCAAAGTCATTGGCACAGTTCAGCCACATCTAACATGAATCCGTAGCTTCAAGAAAAGTTGTACTGAAATTGGAGAATTTTTAATTTAAAAAAATTTCATGGGATGTAAAAGTGAAATGATTGTGCATTTATACTTATGCAAACTAAATTATTAAGATTTCAAAGTTCATTGCACACTTCCCCTTTTGATCTGGGCAAGCTCAATTTAAACAAACAGGTGATAATTAGCAGTTTTGTATTCCAAAAATTCTCCTTCAGATCATTTTTCTTCAAAAAAAAAAAAAAAAAAAAAAAAAAAAAAGCACTCAATTACATCAACTACTAAACCAGCTGAACAATTAACCCACCAAACCTGAACAAGGCAAGTGGTGGAAATTTAAATAACATTTACCTCATTTAGCCTGCCAACAAGTTGATCTGAAGTAGCAAGCGGCTGAATCACTTGTAAAGTTCGTCTCACTGTTGTGTTACTTATAGCTCCGCTCGTAAAGAAACTCTGAATGGAGATGGGAAGGAAATTAAAAATATTAACAATTAAGTTTGAAGACTGTATTCAAAAGTCTATATCATAGAGAGAATGTTTGCAGAACTTAGATAAATGAAGTCATGTTTAATTGTACATCTTCTCCTACTTCTCACTAGTTATTTGAAAGGCTCACTTTATTGATGAGTGCAACTTTGCCACTACAGCCTGACAAGCACAAATTCCTTGTTCACACAGTGGAAAGGTGGTGGAAAAATAAGGAGACACCAAAATTCCACTTAGTTTCTACTAAAATTACTTAATATTTCAACAAGGAAACTTGTACCTACTGTATTGCAAAGGGTTCACATCTCAGGAAATGCTACAGACCTAATACAGCAGAGTCCCCAGTTTCTGAACACCTAACTTGCAGCACTATCTCATACAGGAGTAACACTTTACAAAATCGACAAACATTTCTCGTACTTGTGAATGGCTACTTGTTATTGTCCTGCAGAGCTTTCCAACTTGGGTACAGATCAACTTGTAAACGGACTTAAAAACTGAACCCATTTGCAACCTGAGGACTGTCCGTACTTAGTAAGCAAATGGGGCAGCCACTTTGCACTTAAGATCCTTTAACAGGTTGTAATTAAAATCAGCACATCAATTGAGGTCTGCGGCACAGGTAGCGTCCCTACCTCTTGATGAAATCCCACCTGCCACCAAGGTGGTCATAACACATCCCAACAGGATGAGTTTTAAAAAAATATATCAGCACATCAAGTACATAGCAGAACAGATCTATCAACCTAAATGATCAATGCTGACATTAATGTTCCACACAAGCCTCCTCCAAACCTATTTTGCCCAACACTACCTTTACATCCTATTTCTTTCTCCCTTCAGTGGTTGTCCAGCTCCCCCTTAAACCCATTATGTGCATTTCTCCCAAGTTCCTCATTGGATTTGACTGACCGTCATATTCATGAGGTTGAACACAAGAGGAATATTCCAGGAAGTTACAGGTCAGTCTAATCTCTGCAATGTTAAAGTTATAAGAAAGATTGCTGAGACACAGATTACATCTGCACTTAGAGACATGGATTCATCAGAAATGGTCAGTTTCATTTTTTAATGGAAGGTTGTATTTGACAGATTTGAATTTTTTTTTTTTTTTTTTTTTTTTTTTTTGAGGTAACCAGGATCGGTGATGAGGGAACATGGAATTTACCAAGGCTTTTGATAACAGCTTCCAGGGCAGACTGGTCAAAGTAAGAACCCATAAGATCCAAGGCAAAGTGGCATGTTGGATTCAACACTGGCTGAGAGGCAGGAAGCAAACGCTGATGGTAGAGGGATGTATGACTGGAAGTCTGTTTCAGGGTTTCTGCACTGTGAGGCCCTTGCTGTTTGTGGCATACAATATGGACGTAAACACATGGGGTTATGATCAGAAGTTCGTGGATGATGCAAAATTAGCATGGAGGTAAATAGTGAGCAGATTATCAATGGACTGGTCAGTTGGGCAAAGCAGTACCAAATGCAGTTTGACCAGAACGTAGGGGTAATGCAGGGGTGCCAACAAGGCAAGGAGTTACACTATGAATGTTAGGACCCTGTACTGGAGACCACAGGACCTTTGTGTACTTATCCACAGATCCTGGAAAATAGTAGAGAAGAGAGATGGTGGCACAGTAGCTCAGTGGTTAGCACTGCTGCCTCACAATGCCAGGGATCTGGGTTCGATTCCACCCTCTGGCGACCGTGTGTGAAGTTTTCACATTCTCCCCGTGTCTGCGTGGGCTTCCTCCGGGTGCTCCAGTTTCCTCCCACAGTCCAAACATGTGCAGGCTAGGCGGATTGGCCATGCTAAATTGCCCATAGTGTTAAGGGATGTGTAGATTAGGTGGGTTAAAGGGGAATGGGTCTGGGTGGGATGCTCCGAGGGTCAGCGTGGACTTGTGGTGCCAAAAGGGCTGTTTCCACCGTGTAGGGATTTGATGATGATGATGATGAACTGGCAAATGGAATAATTGCCTTTAACAACCGAGACAGAATACAAGAGCAAGGAGGTTAGGCTGGAACTGAACAAAATACTGGTGAGGCCACATTTGGAGTAATGCATGCAGTTGTGGTCACCACATTGTAGGAAGGATGTAACTGCACTACCGAGGAAGGCGCAGGATTTACAAGGATGCTGGAGGGCTTGAGCTAGGAGGAAAGTTTGGATAGACTGGTGTCATTTTCCTTGGAACAATGAAACTTGAGGGAAGATTTGATAGAAATATAAAGATTATGACATGCAGTCAGCACATTTTTCATTAGCAAGGGTGTCTTTCCCCCAGCTGGTGATAAGAGGCTCGTACTCACTGCCTGAAAGGGTGGTTGAATCAAAAATTCTCAACATTTAAACAGTATTGGGATATTCATTTGTACTGTCGTGTCCTCCAGGGTAATGGATCAAAAGCTGAAATATGTGATTTATGTGGTCGTGTGTTTAAACATCTGATGGGCTGAATGACCTCTTTCTGTTCTGTAAATGTCTGCAAGTTACAGCACGCAGGAAAGGAACAGAATAAATAGGAAGTAGGCCAGGTGTATAACAATACTGTTTTTCAAACTCGGTATGGTTACATTCCTGTGAAATGTTTAGGAGCAGGGTACCAAGCTGTGACAGGATGTCTATTTCAGTATACCACAATATGTTTAAATGTTAATCTATGATATGCCAGTTGGCTCTGTACATCCAAACGCCGTACTTAATAAAACATGGCAAAAAATGAAGTTTTCAAATACTAAACTAAATTTATAATCAAGTCTCAAAATGTACCAAAAATACACTTAAAGTATTCCAAAAGCAATTAGTATTGCTCTAATCCAACCAGAGGTCATGTGGTATAGAATCCCTGCCTCTGGACCAAAAGGTTCAGTCTCAAATCCTACTCTCAAACTGGCTGGCAAGGTGTGCTTGCAACATGATGGAGGATCAATTTGTAAATCCTTTCAACATGTGTCATTGGTGAGTTCACAGAATCCCTACTGTGGGGAAGCAGGCCATTCAGCCCAATGACTCTACACTGATCCTTTGAAGAGCATCCCATCCAGAATCACTCCCCTACCCTATTCTTGTAATCCTGCATTTCCCATGGTTAACCCACCCAGCCCTCACATCTCTGAACTGTAGGAGGAATCTGGAGCACCCAGAGGAAATCCACACAGACAGTCAACCAAGGTTCAAAGTGAACCCAGATCCCCAGTGCTGTGATGCACCAGTGCTAACCACTGAGCCACCATGCCACCCCTTCAGTTGTAAGGACTAAAGAGATTCCTGTCAGCCACGTAACGAAAAGAAACTGGACATCATTGCTATTCGGTTTCAGACTACAATACACAAATCATAAATTGTATGCTGCTACAACAACTATGATCCCATGTGAAGCTGGTTAGCTCAATGTGGATCAAATTTGTGGCAACAGCTAGGATGTGGATTAATCTTCAGCTAAAGTAATATTGGGTCTTGCCTACTTGCCCTACCCACGTGGGTACTGTGCCGGGCCTACATTTGGACTGAACTTGTGGGGGAAAAAAATCCAGTCATACAATTCTACATGAAGTGCAACACTACTAAACAGACTACTAAACACTTAGCAAAATGGAAACTACAATGAATTCAGCCGGTTTAAAACTGAACACTTACCTTAAAATGATGGAAGTTGATCCTTTTCTACTTTACAGTAATACATTGCAATTAAAGTGCAAGGCTAGGCCATTTAGCCCAACAGATCCATTTGCACCAGAACTCTTCCTACCCTACTTCATTTCATCCCTGTTACTTTCACTTGTACATTTAATGCCCCATTGAATCACAGTTCCAAATGGTTTTAAAATAAAAACCTCCATTCAACTAGCTAAATTTCACAAAACCCCAGCGTAACTTGTATTAAAATAATCTTCACATCAGCAGAGTACAAAACCTGATTTCACTGGTCCAAGACATACACTGCAGCACATTAACCCCAACTCTTGAAGAGGGCTAACTGAGCAATTCTGCTCTGGATTGAGGGCTGAGTTTACCACTTTACTTGACCCTAGTACAAATAGCTTTTATTTACCGAAGTTGGAATTCATTAATTCTCCCTAATGATTAATTAAACTTCCACCATTAAAAAAACTAACAAAGGTAGATTAAAGGCATGATTAGGATTGATGCAAGTTGTACTCATGCATTACACTGCAAGCGTGGGAAAATAATTTATACTGTACTGTGTACGTGTAGCAATAGAATTCCCACGGTAAAGTTGTTTCAATACAGATTATGATTCCTGTGCTGGACACACCTTACTAAGCGTGGGAAAGTGCTACACAATAGATTACAGACATTATTAAAGATTAAACCATGCAGATTAGTTATTTTTCTCAAGGTGAATATATGCCAACAAATGCTGTTTCAGCAGTTAACCATCACTTATAAAACAGAACCTGGAGTACAATAACTTTGAAGTGGTACATATTTTGTAAGTTTTGTACATGTTATGCTAGATTGACCTTTGGAAAGTTTACATTTAATTTCAGTCTTTCATTGCACATCTAAATTTAACTAATGGCAAAATTTTAGGTGAACTAAAATGAAGCTTGCTACTAATATTCACTGTATTGGTTTGCTAATCAAAAAACACAGGATTTTGCATTTTCATAATACCCTTCATTTCCAGAGGCCAAGCTGTCTTCCTGGAATCTATGTAGATTCTTTACAATACAGCGTTGCTGCTCCCAATTTTGGACTTACCTTTATGGTTTGAGGATGTTTACTGGCATCACGTCTGTGCCTCATATTGGTGGCCATTGTTAGAACTGGAGGTGTGACAGGAAGGAAGATAAAACAAGTTTAAGCAAGTCAGTCAAAAACAGCAACTTTAGAACAGTCTAGAAAATATTCCAAATGCTTTTGCTTTAAAAAAAAAAAATTATACCACCTTGACAAACAGTAGAAAAGATGGCTGGCCAGCCATCTCCGAGGTTTCGTTTTACCATACCTCTGATAATGCAGAGGAATCTGGATGTCCTCTTGCATAAATTACTGGTTAGTATGCAGGTACAGCAAGTAGCTAGGAAAGCTAATAGAATGTTATCACTTATTACAGGGGAATTGAATGCAAAAGTAGGGAAGTCGTGCCTCAGTTATGCAGGGCACCAGTAATACTGCATCAGGAGTACTGAGCACAATATTGGTCACCTTATTTAAGGAAATATGCTGGAAGCAGGTCAGAAGTTTTAGTAGACTAATATCTTGGATGAGGGGTTGTCTTATGAGAAAGAAATCACACAGACTAAGCTTGTATGCTCTGAATTTTAGTAGCCTGAGGGGACTTGATTGAAACACAAGATCCTGAATGGTCTTGGCAGGATAGATGAAATGGGTGAAGAGACTTCCTCTCATGGGAGAATCTAAAACTAGGGGGTCACTGTTTTAAAATCAGGATCACTCATTTAAAAACAGCAACAAGGCTGCTTTTTTCATTTTCTCAGGAGGTAATGAACCTTTAGAACTCCCCTTCTACTGCCTTTTCAGCAAGGGAGTTCTTGAATATTTTTAAAATCAGAGGTAGACAGATTTTTGTTAAGCAAGGGAGCAACAGGTTCAGGTTAGGCAGGAACGTGAATTAACATTTCGGTATGGTCATGGTGGATCTGATTGTATGGTGGATCAGGCTCACGTCCTATTTTAGGACATGAGCCTGCTCCATTATACAATCAGATCCACCATGACCTTTTTGAAATGTTGAAGTACTAAAATCCTAAAATAGGTCATGAACTGAAACTTCTGACCTAGAGCCACACACTATTAGGGCATGATTGACATTTTATACGATTTCATGAGAAACCCAGAAAATGATTATGTTTGAGAATTTCAAGGCAAGATTTACCAAATGAAGTTCAGAGCTCCTGCTTATCAAGTCCATCCTGGATTTTAAAAAGCACACTTCAACCAGTTTTCTCACCTTGGAAACATTATGCTAGCTAACTACCAAAATAGGCCATGATAAGTCAACCTTTTACTGTAAAGTCTGAAATGTAACTGTAGGAAAAATTCAAGGAAAATCATACACCATAATCAAATCAACAAGATTGCAATGATTACAAACAAGGAAAGCCAGTATTCTAAAATTAAGCCAGGGAAAAGATGTACTTATTTCAGTTCCACATCTTTTCACAAACTAATCAGTGGCTTTTCTGTGCTGAGAAAACAGGTTTTGAAAAACTAGTACGGTTTGAAATCGATGAATGGCCCTTATTTCAAGCACTATGCAATCATCCCCAAAGTTTATAGGTTCAATGCACCATTTTAAAGGATACTCCAGTGGACTGGAACACCACTGTACTACTTCTCAGGCTTGGGTTTGAACTCAGCCAAAGATAATCAACAGAAGGGTCACAAAATTGCTTCAGGCAATCTTGTACCAGGTGGCAGCGACTAAGTTCAGAGCCCGGATCTAATGTACTGCAATTTGACACTAATTACTCAGCTTTTCACGTAGTGCCTACTAGAATGGCTGACAAAAGCTGAAATGCTACACAGGTCAAAGAAATTAAGGGTTGGTGTAGAGATGACAGCACATTGTTCAGCCAGAATAAGAGCAGCTTTGTCCCCATCACACTACTTGATGAGCTGATCAGCTCACAGTACTAACCTTTACCTTCCAAAGGTTAAACATTTAAAAAGGGGGCTCAAGTCTTTTTTCCTTTAAAAAGTCTGCAGACAAATGTTTTGTACTAGTCATGTGCCAGAATCTGTACACTATACAGAACTTTAACTGTCTCCCATGGAATATTATCTATTTTGACAGAAGAGCCTTCTTTAAAAAAAAAGGTGAAAATCAGGAAGAAAGAAGGGCATTAATCCTCAACTGGTAGGCTTGCTACACTCCAATACGCTGACAGCACCTAAATGATTCTTATCTAACCTGTCTAAAAACAAACTAGTTTTGGTCACAGATCATGCACTCATTTAAGGATTGACATTTAATATTACTACTGCACCAGACACTGCACATAAGCACCATTGTTATATATGCAAGTCATTTTACAAAAAGAAAGGAGATTTCAGTCGCGTGATGTATGGAAACTGATCAAATGTTTCCTTCAGCTACCATAACTAACATTCCCATAGGAGTTCTTCAATCCATTCTACTCCAATAGTTTCCAAGCTTCCCATCAATCACATTTGCCTGCACTGCACCTCGATCCACGCTATTTGGCAGGATAGCTTTGCTCGGATTCAAAAATAAAACCTCCACGGCATTTTCTCCTCAAAAAACAAACAAACCCCTAAATGAGTTTAGGAATAGAAACAAACCATTCAGCCTTCTCCATCATTAAATACAGTCACGGCTGATCGCAAACTATCCCAAAGCCCTCTACAATAGATCTCTATCCCTGGATAAATAAAAATGCCGTTTAAACAGCTAACAAATTCATCATTCGTGGAGGCACAGATCCATTCCCCAATAATTCACCGCTTTCACGAGGACAACAGCCTACCTCTGTCTCCAAGTGTCACGATCTAATATACAACCATAGACCAGAACTTTGCCCACGTCTTGGCTGCCCTGGTGCTGGTGGATACTCAACGAAGCACAAGACATCAATCTTAGAGTCAAGAGTAATTACTTCAGATGACTCACCCCTCCCAACAATTCCCCCCGCTCCATACCATCAGGAACCACCCATCAGCAGGTACCCACGCGGTTTTACCGCCGACCGGGGAGGAAGGAACTCCCAAAACGGGAACTAAGAGTATTAGCAGATTTCGATCCAGGATTCCGAATGTAGACGGTTCCCCTCCTGCTCTTTCTGAGAGTGGGGGGTAACAGACCACCTCGCCCCACACAGTGAGCGGCGACAGGCCCGTTAAGGGGAAAGTCCAGAGCCACTCGGAACAGGACTGGGCACCTCAACTGCTACAATATTTTTTACTGGTGATACAGTCCCCAACAACTCACCTCCAGTCGGTGTGTATGTGTTTCCCCCCCACCCAGGGGGGTGTATGGATGTATATAACGCAGACACACCACTCCCTGGGTCAGGCACTAACCGCCGCTACCGCCGGCCGCGAGCTCTCCTTCTCCCTCCGGGTATTTTTTTTTGCCGCCTTTGGCTCGAGGTTAAAATAAACTCCTTCGTCACGTGACGGGGCGGACGCCGCGAAGGGCTTTCTGGGTGCGGTGTGTCCGCGACACACACACACACACACAAAAACAAAACAAAATCTAAAAGGTAAACAAGAGAGCAAACAGCGTTGTGCTGCATAAATTGTGCGTTATTTAAAACATTTAAGGTCAACTCGCCGTGGAGGGAAAGAACAACAGGGCGGGAGCGCCGCCGTCACGTGACTGATCCCCAACTCCCAGCCGGATTTCAGAGAGAGTAGGAACTGCAGATGCTGGAGAATCCGAGACAACAAGGTGCAGGGCTGGATGAACACAGCAGGCCAAGCAGCATCATAGGAGCAGAAAGGCTGACGTTTCGGGCCTAGACCCTTCATCAGAACAGGGGGAGGGGGTTCTGAAATAAATAGGGAGAGAGTGGGAGGCGGATAGAAGATGGATAGAGGAGAGGAAACTACACTCACCTTTACTGGCTCCGTCCCCGCCTCTTCAACCTGTTTGTTTCCTCTCCTCTATCCATCTTCTATCCGCCTCCCACTCTCTCCCTATTTATTTCAGAACCCCCTTCCCCTCCCCCTTTTCTGATGAAGGGTTTAGGCCCGAAACGTCAGCCTTTCTGCTCCTAGGCCTGCTGTGTTCATCCAGCCCTGCACCTTGTTGTCTCGGATTTCAGAGAGCTCCAACCTTGCAGTGGGAGCGACCAAAAAAAGGATGTTATCTACAGGAAACAGTGCAAAATCAGGACATTCGTGCAACTCTATTCTTTTCTCTTATGTGCTTATCTAGCCTCCCTTTATACGCATGTGTACTAATTTCTTCAACCGCCTCGTGGCAGTAAGTTCTATATTCTTGTGATACTGAGAGTAACCGGTTTCGTCCGATTGCTTTTTGGTTACTTGGTCACTTGGTCACTGTTTGGTACCTCAAGATTCTGGAATTCCTTCAATTTCGGTATTTTCCCACCCCCACCACTATCAAATAAAACACCCTAATCTCTGTGACCCACTGACCACAACATATTCTCCTACCTCACATCCTATTTCTACAATAGTTTCAGCGATAGTAGGAACTGCAGATGCTGGAGAATCTGAGATAACAAGGTATAGAGCTGGATGAACACAGCAGGCCAAGCAGCATCAGAGGAGCAGGATGGCCGACGTTTTGGGCCTAGACCACATTTTCTTTCCCAACACACAGGTTCCATTTCTGAGCAATGTGAGGCCCTTTAAGGGGCCATTGCATTAAACAAGCACTTTCACAGAACAAGTTGAACAAGTTGTTCTATGATCACCTGTAATCAGAGCACTATGCACGTGAAATGCCTTCAGTGTACAACTGTGGGGGTAGCAAATTCTGGTCACAAGCCATCTTGACCGTGTCATTGACCCTCGCAGATTGCAGATAGTCATCATGGTGAAGCAGAATTATTCACAAGTGACTTTGAAAGTGGTATCTGTGCCATAAAGTACAGAGCTAAGGCAAGGTCTCATCGGCTGCACAGGGTCATGGACCTGATTCCTCTCACCTTGAACGTGGAGTATTCTGCAAACATGCTCTTATATAGGTGATGTGGGGCTTGGAGGATAATTTCCTACTGTCTCTTTGCAACATTACCGTTCTGTGTTTATTGGAATAAGGTCTAATATCAAAGATCCACACAGCAGCAGTCCATTGCCCTCTGTGTTGGATTCCTCAATATTCCATTTTATGGAGGAGTATGGCAAACTGTTTTTGTGAGTTTCTAACTGCTCACATTACTAGGTACCTGTTGTATATCTTATGTTC